GTGCAACTATGTTTATCTCATAGTTCAGATATAGAACCAACCCAGATGCCCCACAGTAGGTGAATCAATCAAGAAAATGTGGAATTCTATGCCTCCATCAGAAAGAATGACATTGCCCCATTTGTTAGGAAATGGAAAAACTTGGAAAAAAATCATATTAAAGCAGGGTACTGGTGGCTCACGCCTATAATCCTAGCTACTCAAGAGGCTGAGATTTGAGGATTATGGTTCAAAGCCAGCCCGGGCAGGAAAGTCCTTGAGACTCTTATCTCCAATTAACCACCAGAAAACAGGAAGTGGAACTGTGGCTCAATCAAGCTCGCCTTGAGCTGAAGAGCTCAGGGACAGCGCCCAAGCCCAGAGTTCAAGCCCCTCAACCGACTCCCCCTAAAAAAAAATCATATTAAGTGAAGTAAGCTATGCTCAAGACACATAGGTCCCATGGTTTCCCTTATTCGCAATAATTAGTATATGTCTAGGAACAGCAGAAAAGGTCAAAAGCTATGTACGTATGAGTATATAAGATGATTCTAAGCAAAATGAACCCCAAGATAGAGACACAAGAGGTTTTATTTTTGTTGCTGTTGTTTTTAATGTACTTAGTGTTGTTTTTAATGTACTGTGTGATTTTTTTTGTTTCTTTTGTATGTTCTTCCCCCATGTTATAACCCCTATTTTTCACTGTATTTGATTCCAGTGTCCTGTATCTTGTGTATACATTTTCTAATTGGGGGAGTGGAAGGGAAATAACAAAATGCTGAAACAAGGATACAGGTTGACCCATTGTAACAATGAGATGTACAAGACACTATGTAGAATATGAACTTTACAACTTGGGGGAGAGGGAGGAGTTGGGGAGGTAGGGGAGAGAAATGGTAGGGGAAAAACAAAAGCGGAGGTAACAATAATTGATAGGAAATGTACTCACTACCTTACTCATGTAATTGTAACCCTTTTGTACATTATCTTTACAATAAAAATGCAAATTAAAAATAATAAATGATAAAAAAGAGCAGAAAAGATAATGAATTCTCTAGTAGGGTTTGAAATCACTGTGCAAAAAGAATAAAATTTTCTCCTACCAGGCGTCTTTGAACTTACTAATGCCATAGTGAACTTGATGTCAAAGAAAACTATCTTGAAGAAGTGTAAAAACTGGATTGCAGTTAACTTTTCTGATTCTAATTTCCAATATTATTTTACATAGTTTATTTTGGTCACAGTTTCTGGACCTGTGCATCTCTATAAATTAAGGAAATTTATTAAAT